GAACCTTAAGGTCAGCAGTTCAAAACTACCAGCTGCTCTGTAGGAGAAAGATGAGGCTTTCTGCTCCCGTAAAGATTTACAGCCTCAGAAACCTTGTACAGGGTCACTATGAGTCAGAACCAACTCCACAGAACATAACAATAACAAGGGCAATAAATTTAGAATATTAAGGATTTTCTTGCTGTGCCTTAGCAATATCTGTCCTAGAAGCAAGGTATACCTGGTCGTGACTGGGGAACAATGAAGAGTCTATCCATACAAGTCTTCCATTAAAGAAGAACCCCAAGGAAAGATAGTCAAGATGTATGCCAGTTGGTCAAAGATAGAAGGCCAGGAATGGTGAGTGGTATAATGTGATATAAGACAATGCATTTTTTAAACTTTCTGTCCTCCACTCTTACCTGTTGGTATTCATGTTTGAGTCTTAGGGCAAGGAAGTATCAATAAAAAGAGCAAAACTTTAATGAGTGGTGTTACAAGGCAACAGCAGTTTTGTTACAAGTAACTTCTGCCAAAATGGGAGACAGACCTCCATTCCAAACAATAGTGCCCTAACATGTGTCACATAAACCTTGGTGGAGTCCTGGTATGGCACCATAGGATAAGTCCTGGACCTCAAGGTTGGTTTGAACCACAAGGTTGGCAGTTCAAACTCATCAGCTGCTCCTTGGAAACCCTAAACAGGGGTGTGATGAGTCGGAATCGACTCAACGTGGCACTTAACAACAACATATTTTTGGTTACCATCAGTAACAGTCATACCTGAGAAGGATAACAATAGTGGTGGAAATGCTTGTCCCTTTTAGCAGTCCTGTGGCACTATAGGATGAGCACTGGACCACAAAAACTGTTTAAAAAATGCTGGAGGTTCAAACTCACCAGCCACTCCTTGGAAACCTGACACAGGGTCACTATGAGTAGGAACAGACTCAACGACACTTAACAAGAACCATCCTCCTTAGTACCTTGAACAATTGTGATACATAGCAGACATTCCACAATTATTTGTTGAGGGACTAGTGGGTTGTTTTTAGTGCCATCGACTCAGTTTTGACTCATAGTGAACTTGTATAGGGTTTCCGAGAAGCAACTGGTGGATCTGAACCACCAACCTTGGAGTTCAAACTGACCTTGCAGTCTAGTGTTTATCCTACAGCACCACAACAAGATTTGATTAGTGGATTGTTGTTGTTGTTAGGTGCCACTGAGTCAGTACTGACTCATAGCGACCCTATGCACAACAGAACGAAACACTCCCCGGTCCTGGGCCAACCTCACAATTGTTACCACGCTTGAGCCCATTGATGCTGCCACTTTGCCAATCCATCTTGCTGGGTGTCTTCCTTTTTTTCTCTGACCCTCCACCTTACCAAATATGATATCCTTCTCCAGTGACTGGCCCCTCCTGACAATATGTTTGAAGTATGAGAGACGAAGTTTGGCCATCCTGGCCTGCAAGGAGCACTCTGGCTGCACTTCTTCCAACACAAGATCTATTGGTTCTTTTGGCAACCCACGGCCCTTTCAATATTCTCCTCCAACACCATAACTCAAAAGCATCAATTCTTCTACAGTCTTCCTTATTCACTGTCCAGCTTTCACATGCATATGAAGTTATTAAAAACACCATGACTTGGGTCAGG